GAAAAGACCAACCCTGAGGGCACGAGAATTACGCGTCTTGTTGGTTTGATATTCCACATTGGCCCTGCGGCGTCTACATTACAGATCACTGCGGAGAGTCAATGTACAAAGGGTATTATTATGTGGGAGGTTATTGATTTTACGGGGCCATTGCAGCATTGCGCAATACTTGTGCAAGCTTGTAGGTAAAGTTTACAAGAGTTTCACAAGGAAAAGCTAGAACAACGAGTTTACAAACCCATGGAAGTTGATGTAGCAAGGAATGCATCGCAACGCACTAGCAACCTAGCAAGGCGGCCTACCAACGTAGCATGAAGGCAGCTTGCTAGTGTTGTAGCAAGTCGGCATGCGAGTGCTGCAACAAGGCGACTTGGAGGTGCAGTTGGCCCGTAATGTTTGACAAGACTACAGCAGCAGCTGCCCCTCCCTTATGTACTCGGTCTTCCTTGTCTGTCCATTGACAGTGAGACTCCCTCCTCCCCACCACTGCCTCCCTTGGGCTTGTTTCTAGATCGCTTTCTTTCTTGTTCACATTTGTCTCCCCCTCTCCTTCCCTTATCTCTTAGCCCTTCACTTATTGTCCCCCTAGTTCTTATCCCTCATCTTCTATTCCAGGCTTTCACCCCATGTCCTATCCTCCCAGGTCATGGACCCATAGCCCCTCAGTCATCTGTCGTTGCTCTAGTTGCAGTTGTCACCGACTTTGCCTCCACCCACCACCTTGACTACACCATTGAGCTGGTCTCTGACCCTACCAATCCTCCGTACATCACAGGTGCTCCTGTCCTTGACAATGACGTCCTAGAGGACATGTAGTTCGATCTGGCTTTCCTTGCGGCCGCTGCTCCTCATCTCTATGCCATGCTGAAAACCGGTGAGGGTGACCCAGACGCTTTTGACATCCCGACTCTTCGCACCTGCACTGAGGCAGTTTCGGGAACCTAAGCCCCTCAGTGGATAGTGGTCATGGACGTAGAGATGGCATCTTGGAGGTCCACATGCACCTACGTCGAAAATGTTCCCCCTCCTAGAGCGAAATTTTTTAATGGCATGTGGATCTTCAATGTGAATTGGCCATCTGGATCCCCGCCTGTCTTCAAGGTAGGTTATGTGGCAAGAGGCTTTAGTCGGCGAGAGGGTGCAGACTTCTTTCATACCTTTGAGTGTTGCTGTGTATCGCGGCGCGACGCAACTATAGGCTCCACTCACTTGACTTTACCTAGGGCATCCTGCATGAGCAGATCTGGCTCCGCCGTCCACCTAGCTTCACTGTGTCCTTCCCTCCTTAGATCCAGTGCAAGACTGCCCCAGACGCAAAACGTAGGCGCAGCACAAGGGACCTAATCAAGACGAGAGTCGGTATGGCCATTGAAAAGGGGGGGGGGAAATGGCATGGACCATGGAGGTACGGGCGATCTATGTGGCCAAGCCAATGCAACGCTCAGCAACCCTAGTTTACTACGACTATTCTGGGATTATGTACATCTCGCGGATGCCCTCTGCCCAACAGAGCTGAGTCAAGGACCCTAACGTTGGCTCAGCATGTACAGCTTGGCATTAAGGAGCCACGCTGCAAATCTGCCTATCCCTCCACATCAATTCGCATGACAATTTCAAACGTCATGACGGAAGGTGCACATGTGCAGTCGAAGAGAGGAGACTGCCGCAGGCGGAGGAGACGGCAGGCAGCAAGGAGGGGGGCGTTAGGGCTGCAGGAGTGGGAGTGATGGGCGCAATTGCAGGAATGGCAGACACGTGCGACAGCGGCGCAGTAGGTGCAGGCGGCACTAGCAATGGGGGCTGGCGGCCAGGCACACGCGGGACTTGTGCGCAGTTGACGCGGCCGACTCGCTAGTGCTGCTGGTGCGGGCTGGCACGGCTAGCGCGACTGGCGCAGCTGGCGCGATTGGTGCTACTAGCGCAGGCTGGCTAGTGGCTTGCACAAGTGGTGAGCTGGATAGCTCAGGCTGGTGCAGCTGGCGTGGTTGGCGCGGACGGCGGTCGCGGGCTGGCACTGGCGGACGCGATGGTTCCGCTGTCGGCTAGGCCTACTAGTGCTTGCACGGCTGGATTTGTTAGCACGGCTGGATTTGTTAGCGCAGCTGGTGCGGATGCTACTGACGCTAGTGCAGCTAGCGCTGGCGCAGCTGGTGCTAAATCAGCGGTAGTGGGCGCGGTAGCTGTAGGCGCGGCAGCAATGGGCGCGGCAGTTGCAGGCACAGCAGTCGCAAGCGGGCAGGCGCGACTAAGCTCGACGAGAGGGGCGCGATGGGGACGGAAAGGGGTGGGGAGGGGAGAGAGGGTCAGGAGGGGCGCGGATGAGGCGCCAGGGGGTCGTGATGGGAGGGGCCACAAAAGGGCGCGCTAGGAAAAAGGGTCGAGAGGGCACACGTGAGGGTAGGCGTGGTGTAGGCCACGATATACCCTAACGATAATACCATGCAATCATGTATATATTGCACCTGAATCTAGCCTCCCATATTACATTGACTAACTATAAATGGATACGTTTGTCTGTTTAGTCGCTTAGATGAAACCAAAGCATGTGCTGTCAGATTCAGATGAAAAAAACAATATAGGCCTAATATTGAAGATGATCAAAAGATTCGTCTTATGTCGACGTCTCTTGTTGGGTATGATGTCAGGTAGTTGAACGTGTCTGTATATGCACCACATTTGAAAAATGACAGTCTTAGCACCGCGGTGGTCTATAGAGAGCAATTATGTCATGCTTTGTAAGCACTCAACTCCCAGGTGAGGGTCAAGCACCCTCCCTAAAGCACCCCGTTAGTAGATCTGATTCGGTATGGTCCTATTTTGAATAAACCAAGATCAGCGTGCCAGATACGGACGAGTGGTAACGGCGCAAAATGGGTTGTACACCCTGTTTCTCGCTACACTGAACTGTGCCGAACGGGTGGAAAACCTTGTTATCTTCGGTTTGCCTAATTGAACCATACTGAAACGTAATTTAACCACCGTTAACCGTGCTTTTCCCATCTTGACTTCATTGTAACCGAATTCACAATGGCGAGAAAGAGGGTGTACAGAAGATCGTTAGACGGCAACGCAGAGGTCAAGCAGTTGAACAATCTGAAAACCGCAAGCAATGCCGCGCGCCGTGCACGCATGCTCCTGGTAATCTCTTCCCCCCTCGACGAATCGATGCCATCATGCTGCGCGTACTCCGAGTCATGCGCCGTTCAAACCACTCTCGCCGCCGTCACCTCACCCGCTGCTCTCCGTGTTGCGTAGCTCGTTGCTTCCGTCTCGTCCTCGTCGCAGCATGCCTCGCTGTAAGGGCAGTTTCGTGACATTCTCCCACCCTCCCCGCCGCGCCCCCTAACCATTGCCCGTGAAATCCCACCTCAAAGCGGCGTCGCGCGGTGAGTTCACGACGCGGCTCGTCCACTCCCTCCGTCCCACCCTCCCCCACTCACCATGCGGCCCCTCCGTGCCCTTCCGCGCGCAGGCATGCAGCGCGCAGCGCGGAGCGGCGCGGCCAGGGTCGATCCTGGCGGGGTTCGAGTACCCGGAGCATGTGTGCGGGGTGGCGTGGCGCGACGAGTACGTGCAGCTGCACGCGCGCATCAGAGCCGCCAGCCGCGACGCGTGGCGCGCGCGACAGCCACCAGGTAGCGTGGGGCGGCGGTGGGCCGGAGCGCGTGACGATGCGGGTTCTAACTAGTAGTGGGTGACTGTTAGTAGTGAGAGAAACGGAGGGGCAGACGCGTGGTTGCGCGGACAGTAAGGGGAAGGCAGGGCGCAAGCACCTGCGGGTGGATGCGTGTGCACCTACGCACTGCTCCGCCCTCTGCTCCCCGCTGCCCTGTGCAGATGCTCCATCTCCGGCGCCTTCGCCTTCGCCTTCGCCTTCGCCAGCGCCAGCGCCCGCCGCATCACACGAATCGCCGCCGCTTGCCTCCGCGCCGCCGCCACAGCCCGCCGCCACGTCGCGCAGGCGCCTGGCGGACCACTACCCCCCCGACATCGACAAGCCCGCGGAGCCTGCAGCAGCGGACGACTCCGCAGCACCTGACGCGTCGCCGGCAGTGCGGTTTCTGACGTACGACTGGTACGGCACGTGCGGGGGAATCGGTGACTACCTCATCGGGCTCGTCTCCATCTTCCCCGCCGCGCTGCTCGACCGCCGCGCGCTGCTCGTGGCGCAGCCCTGCATGCACGCCGCGTTCCGCTCGCCACACATCGACACCGCGCTCTCCCCCGACGTGCCCATGGGTGGCCACCCGCTGCTGCGCGCCACGCCCCTGGACGCCCTCAGCAGCGCGGACGCCATCGCTAGCGCCAGCGCTGGCGACAGCGACGGTGAGGGCGAGGGCGGCGAGAACGGTCCCCGGGTGGAGTGGCACGCGCCGCCGTGCGAGCGGCTGGAGGGGAACCTGAGCGCTGACGTGGCGGACAGCAGTGCAGTGCCGTGCTTCAACATGGTGGGGCAGACGTTTGCGATTGGGGACCTGCAGTGGCACAGCAGGCTGTGCAACTACCGCATGCGGTACAACCACGGGCTGCTCATCTCCACGCTGCTGCTGGACGACGGGCCCTGGGCTGCCGCGCTGAGGCGGCTGGGGTTCAAAATCGCGTACGGGTTCGGATGCATCCTCAGATTCCTCTTCAGGTCCGTCTGACTCACGTGCCTTGTGCGAGACACACCCACTTGCTCACTGCTGTGCCCTGCGCCACACCCACTCGCTCACTGCTGTGCCATGCGTGACGCCCACACGCTCATGGCTGTGCCATGCGTGACACCCACTCGCTCATGACTGTGCCATGCGTGACACCCACTCGCTCATGGCTGTGTCCTGAACTGCATCACACGCTACAGTCGTGTGTGTATGCTGAGGGTTTGAGGCACGGTGTGAGTGGTATCCATCCGTCACCTCCACCACTGTTACCCCTTCCTCTTCCATTCCTCTCTTGCATCTCCTCCTTCCCCTCCCGCACTGTCCCTCTCCTTCTCTTTCCCTCTCGCCTGACCCCAGTCCGCGGCCCGAGGTGTGGCAGCTGGTGGCGGGGAAAGAGGAGCACGTGTGGGGCGAGGCCGTGGTGCATGCATGCTGAGAGTGCGAGGCACGGTGCGATTGGTATCCATTCGTCAGCCGTCCCGTCCACCCATTGTTGGCGCCTTTTCCTTTCATCTCTTCCATCCCCTCCATCCCCAGTCCGCGGCCTGAGGTGTGGCAGCTGGTGGCGGGGATGGAGTAGCAGGTGTGGGGCGAGGGCGTGGTGCGGGTGGCAGTGCACCTGCGCGTGCCGGACCAGACCGTGTGGCACTTTGAGGGCGCGCCCCTGGACACGTCACAGCAGCAGCTGGAGGAGCTGCTGGCCGACGCCAACAGCACGCTGCAGTGCGCTCAGGTGAGGCGTGTGCTTGCACTTGCGTGTGCCGGATGGCACCGTGTGGCACTTTGAGGGCGCACCCCTGGACACGTCACAGCAGCAGCTGGATGAGCTTCTGGCCGACGCCAACAGCAGTACGCTCAGGTGGGTTTCAAAGGGGGAAGTGGGAGTTCTCAGTGTGCGCATGCCATGGGGGGGTTTTGTGCCGGACTGCACGGTGTGGCACATGTTTGAGGGCACGCCACTGAATGCGTTGCAGCAGCAGCTGGAGGAGCTGCTGGCCGAGGCCAAGAGCACGCTGCAGTGCGCTCAGGTGAGGCCAGGAAGGCGTTGTGGGTGCCGGACGAAATGGTGTCTGCGGGACGAAATGGTGTGTGCGGGACGAAATGGGGTGGCACACGTTTGGGGACATGCTCTTGGACGCGTCGCAGCAGCAGCTGGATGCACACAGGCACGTGCCGCCAGGGGGGGGCGTCCTGATTTCGCGTGTGCCGTTCCGCTGTGCTTTGGCATGCCATGGGGATGAGCTGTGTTGTTCGCCCGTGCGTTGGCATTTCGTGGGGATGGGGTGTTGTGTTGGGCGGGCAATGGTTCGGGTCAAGTCGCACAAGGGTTGCGGTTGTGGGGGGGCAGGAGGGAATGGGAGAGGAAGGGGAGGGCAGCAGGAGTGGGGTTTCAAGAATATGTATGGTGACACTTCTTCTCTGCATGTTTTTGCCACTGAAGGTTTCACTGTGCTCTCCTCCCCGTTCCTTTCCCCAACCTCCCCAGACCCCTCGTGGCAGACAGTGGAGGATTTCTGGTACCCGCCGCCCCTGCAGGTGAAGTGGATTCTCATCACCAACTCGCATCCGCTCAAGCAAGTGCTCAAAGCCAAGTACCCACATAAGGTATGTAACCACCCCCACCCTCGCTCATGCTCCATCCCGTCCCCACCCATCCTTTCCACCTGCCTCCCCGTTTCTCTTTCCTCCCATACCGTCCTCTCTTCACATATGTTCCCTTCCTTTCGCCCACTCAATTTCCTTGCTTCCTCTTGCCCTGCCTCGTCCCTCCCCTTTCTCTCATGCGCCACGCCTCTCCCCTGCATGTGCCGCATTGCGTGCATGCCATGCCATGTGCGGGCACGGGGCACATGGTGCGCTGCCAGGTGGTAGCGACAGACTTCATCCCATGGCACTCGGACCGAGCCACGGAGCACGAGAACACAGACCTCACCTCGCCGGAGGAGCGTGAGGCGGCGCTGCGAGGCCTGCAGCACTTCCGCGAGACGGTGGCGGAGTGGGCGCTCGTGGCGTCGTGCCACACCTTCATCATCCCCGCCTCGGGCTTCTCCCGCACGGCGGCGCTCTATGCCCTGCGCCCTCTTGACATGTTCATTCCCCCGCCCGACCCCTGTAACCCCGAGGAGCCCACTCCCATCTCTGCCTTGCGCGGCTCCTGGAGTAGCATCTAGGCATCTAGGCATGTGGGTCTCTGGGCATGTGGGCATCGTGCGCATGCCCATTGTTGCCCTGTGGCCCGCCATGGGCTGCTGGGCCGCGTCGGGCACATGGGACATGTGGGGCAAGGGGGCACGTGCGGTATATATGGCACGGGGGGTGGGGCTTGGGATGGCACGCAGTGGTAATCATCCGGGTTTCTGCTCTGCACGACATCACAAGACTGAAGCGGCAGAAAACCATGTTGGTTGCATCTAACACGGTTTGGAGAACGCCACCTTCAGATCAGAACGCCGTGCCCAAGGTGCAGAAGCTCGCAGAGGTTTGCCGCGGTTTGGCGGAGGCGGAAGCGAGTGGCGCGGGGGGAAGCGGCGGAGCGGAGCGGAAGCTGCAAGTGGTGGTGCTGGTCCAATCAGACGTGGAGGAGAAAGAGGTGCAGCAGTCGCTCTTAAAGCTCGCGGCGAAAGAGAGGCTCCCCAACGGCCCCACGGGTCCCGCGATTCCATCGCAGCCGCCGTGGATCGCGGTGCCGTGCGTGCCGTCAGATGTCGAGTCGCTTGAAGGAGTTCTTACCGAGGCCGCGCAGACGCTCTCCGTGGCGCTCGATATAGTCACGTCGTCGGCGGACGGGCTCGCGTTGTTCGACAGCACGGGCTGCCCGTTATTAAGGCGCGGCGCGGAGGTTCTAGAAGCGTACGGCAGCGACGCGTGGCCGTTCACTCCGGCGCGAATCGCGGAGCTGGAGGCGGCGAAAGCCGATCGCGACGCGAAGGAGCAGCAGCTCGGCGCGCTTCTCGCGACGAACGATCGCGATTGGCTGCTACGAGGCGGCGGCGGTGTAGGTGGCGGTGGCGGCGAGTCAGGAGAGCCGTTGGATGCGGAGCTGGCTAAGGAACGAATCGCGGATAGCCTGGCGGGGAAGCGCGTGGTGGGGCTTTATTTCGGCGCGGCTTGGTGCCCCCCGTGCGAGCCGTTGCTGCAGCGACTGACGTCCGCGTATCACGGGATCAGCGAGAAACACGGGAAGCACGCTCTGGAGGTGGTTTATGTCTCGTGTGACACTAACGAGCGGGAGTTTCTCGAATCGGTGAAAGGGGTGCCGTGGCTGGCCGTGCCGTTCGCGGATAAGGCGACCAGAGACGCGCTAGTAGAAAGGTTTTCGTCCAAAGCCATCCCCTCTATAGTGTTCCTCGATAACTCCGCAGCAGCTACCGCAGCAGAGGCAGCAGCGGAGGGTGCATGGAACGAGGCGATGTTGAGGCACCCAACACCGACCATCACGAGGGATGGACGCGATGTGATCATGGAAGTGGGCGCGGAGGGGTTTCCGTTCTCAGCTGAGCATGTGGAACGGGCCAGCGCTGCTAAGTAGGCAGCGGACGGGCAATGCTAGCTGTAGGGTTTATCAGAAGCAGAAGTAGGGGGTGCAACAGCAGCTGCAGCATAGACAGCAGCAGAAACAGCAACAGGGGAAGCAGCGGAGGGTGCATGGACTGAGGCAATGTTGATTCATCCAACGCCGACTATCGCAAAGAGGGCTGTGATGTGATCATGGAAGTGGGTGCGGAGGGGTTCTATTCTCCGCTGAGGACGTGGAACTGGCACGAGCTGCTATGAAAGCAGGGGATGGGCAATGCTAGCTGTAGGGTTTATCAGAAGCAGAAGTAGGGGGTGCAGCAACAGCAACAGCAGAATGTGCCGCGGCAGCAGCAGCAGATCCTAAAGGAAGGGAGAGGTGATAAGGCCAGTGTTGGTGGTGCGGGAAATGGTGACTCTTATTGGTGCTGATCATGCAGGCATGCTGGCGAGATTCTGGCAAAATGTTGGCACGGTTTTACGTTGATCGGTTGGGCGATGGTGCGCATCGATGTGGGGATGCATGCGCTGTGAATGAGGGCAGGGGAGGGGAGAATGAGAATGCTGGGGTGGTGTGCTGCTCGGGCACTGACGGTGCTGCTGCTAGCTTTTAGTGTGCTATGGTGGTGATGGTGGCGCTCACTGGTGGTGCTCACTGGTGGTGGTCACTGGTGGCGCTCACTGGTGCACGTGTAGAGAGGGCACGAGCTCCAAATCTAGCAGAGCGAGTGGAGACAGAGAATTGCTGCGGCACAGCAGTGGCAGTGGTGCTGGCTCTGCTCGTGGTGCAGTTGTAGCTGCTGATGCAACCATATTGTTTATTAAGCCAGAGAATTGCTGGGATGGGATGAAGTCCTAGGATTATTTCGAGAGGTCAAATCTTAAAATTCATTATACAGTACCTTATTAGAGGTCAAATCTTAAAATTCATTATACATTACCTTAAAACCGAAATATAAAATAGTGAAGGCCGTCCCACCTTGAAATCGCTGCGATGAGTTCGGCTGATACAACACTGTTCCAAACAAAACGGTTAGGCAGGTTGAAGTAATCTGATTGGCTCACACCAATCTGAAAAAAATTGGCTCCCGCCAAAACGATTTTCGAGGTTCATATCAGCTGTCGCATACGTGCGTGCTGCATCCGCACGACCGTTCCCTGGCGATGCTTTTCCGTCGCCAGGCCCAACTCCAATTTCAAGCTGGTCCTGGGTTCATCACCCACTTCCTCTAGTCACTAGTTTATTCACATAGCAGAGTGAGAACTAATCATTCCAGCTTTCTGCCTAACATTGAGTAGCTTAGGACCTCGACAATTTCCGACTAGGCGCGTAGTCATGAACTTCGCACTTCTGCGTAATACATCTTGTATTAGCGCATTGTGTTTCCAAGCCTCGCGCAATCATCACGTTGCGTTTCACTCCCAGATCGTGCATATGTGTGTGCGCTGAGTTGTGCCTGTGCTGTTGATTGTTGTGAGTTTTGGTGAAGTTACGATGACTGCTCGAGTGAGTACAGGCCTTGCAACCTTGCGCCAAATTCGCACATGTATGTGTGTGAGTTGTGTGTGAGTTTCGCCGCCTATCAGAAATGTAAACAGGTTCCAAATGTTCCCCGTTCATATCGAGACTTGTCTGGAGTGAAAAAAAAAAAAACGTACAGCACTTCCAACTTTCCGAGACGTCCCAAAAAAACTTCTGTTTTCAAGTGGACCCAACTAGAAGGGGGGGGGGTCACTATTTTAGCTGTTGGCTTTAAGTAAATTTCCCACATAAAAGACCCCAGGGTCTCAATGGGTGTGTCATGTCAGGGCAACTGTGGTGTTCCAGCAGTGTTGTATGGCACTGTTCACACAGTTTGAACATGGACGTGGTGTGGAGGGATAATGGTAAGGGAGTTCCCCCAACCATGTGCATTTGTCAAGTGGCTCCTCCGTGGCAGAAGGCTTGTCCTGTTGACACTATACACCATCATTGTCTTTTTGTTTGTCTTTTTTCTTACCAGTACATTAGATGCACAAATTCTATATGCCTGCACTTCCTTCCATTACAGCCAAGAGCAGAGCACCCTCAAAAGAGCAGGTCCTTCAGCAATTCAATCCATGAGCCATGAAAGCCCCTAATATTGCCAATGCCATGGTTTCTTGGTTGCAGCCACAACGACCTGCATTTGAGGTGCCTAGGCGAGTACAACCCTCATGTGTTGTTGCTTGCAGGCGCAGCAACCCGCTCGTACACCGCCAGAAACGTGCGCCCACCGTTTCTTTGCACCTGCAGGGAGTGTGGCGGACCACCGTGACCAGCAGGGGCAATGGAAGTGCACACGAGGGTGACAGGTGAGAGGCTCGCGGTGAGGGACATAGGGCGAGGCGCACGGGGTGAGGCACACGGGGTGAGGCACACGGGGTGAGGGGCATGGGGTGAGGGGCATGGGGTGAGAGGCTCGCGGTGAGGGACATAGGGCGAGGCACATGGGGTGAGGCACACGGGGTGAGGCGCATGGGGTGAGGGGCATGG